AGTGGGACTATTATCGAAATGGACGATTTTCGAATCAATTTTCCCCATAAGAAATAATGTAAATCCAATTAATTCGTTCCAGACACCCAGTACATTCAGTACACTACTGTATAAACATTTAAAAATATACCAAAATGTTATAAATGGTGCAAAGTGACATTAAAATAACTATCACAGACGGTTGACACCACCCTACTATTAAAGTGTCCCTCTAGTAATCGTCCATAATCCGTTCCGGAAAGTGGGACTATTATCGAAATGGACGTATTTCGAATAATTTCCCCCTAAGAAATAATGTAATCCAATTAATTCATTCCAATGAACATCCGAATATCAGAAGAACAATTTTTTGTTACCTAAAGTAGTTACATGCAAAAAGAAGACATTCAACATGCAGGTACCTTTATTGAAGCTGTTGGTTGTGAATGGAAGAAGGAGGAGAGAGAGGGTTAGAGAGGTTATTTGGAATCGGGAATCCCCTCATAAGGCTCTAGTGCCTAATAAATGTATAAAGAACATTGGTAATAGGGGTAGTTGTGAGTGGACGGTTAGCCTAATAGGGTGATCGAAGCTAAAACATTGGGTAGTTTCAAATTTAGTTGGTAAATACATTACGAGTAGAGGGGTGGATTTGAGTCGGCTGCACATGAGTTTATGCTTGGGTAGCATTTGTTCTGTTAAGTGGGTTGGATTTGAATAGGACGGCCTAGTATGGGCAGCAGGAGTTCCAGTGTTCTACTTTTGTTCTTATTTAACGATCACAACTTACCTAGGGTGATCGAGGCTGAGGGACTTGGTTATTTGATAGAAGAGATTGACAAATTATGGCCAGTTGAGGACCTGAGTTGATTTGTGTCCATTGTTACGGGACGTAAATCTTGGTACTTTGGTGGGTTATTTGAGTAAGGACTGCCTTGTATTGGGCCAGTAGACCTCAGTGTTCTTCCATTGTTATGTTCTATTGGCTATTTTTTTGTGTGAAGGGGATGCAAGTTATTGTTGGAGAATATGACACAATATCAACTCTATGGCTTATTTCTACACAATTCAACTAATAGCATAATAAACATATTAATACATAGAAACATGGAATATACTCTAGAATGAATAAAATAGGTCATTACGCATGTCACGAGAGGTGTTGTGTTGTGTTGTTGTTGGGTATATAAGGGCCACTGAGTGTAAGCCGTCCATAATGGTGGTGAAACAGCAGCTGAGGCGGCAGGTGGTTTTTGTAGCCCTATATAACTCCAACAACACTGGAGGAGATGGTAGAATCGCTGAATCACTAAAGAAGGAACCCTCTACCACCATCACTACTACCTTCTACCACTACTACCTTCTACCACCATCACTACTACCTTCTACCACCATCACTACTACCTTCTACCACCATCACTACTACCTTCTACCACCATCACTACTACCTTCTACACCACCACTACTTTACACACTACTTACCTTCTACCACCATCACTACTACCTTCTACCACCATCACTACTACCTCTCCACCATCACTACTACCTTCTACCACCATCACTACTACCTTCTACCACATCACTACTACTTCTACCACCATCACTACTACCTTCTACCACCATCACTACCACCAAAGAAAGCTTTTAGTGCCAGCCCTTTGGTAAAGAATGTGAGAAACACATAATTTATGAAAAAGTTCGTAGAAAAATACAAAGATGGTGGTGGTAGAGTGAAAGCAGTTGTGATAGTGGTTGATGAACATAAGAAAGGAGGATCATTGCAGCAGGCCTGTTGGCCAGCTCGCAGTCCTTTACATTCATCCCACTAACGAAACATTTTCCCAACCCAGTCCTCAATGCTACCCAAGAAATAAGCTCTGATAACTCTATCCACTCATTTGGGACTTGCAAATGAGTGGATAGAGTTATCAGAGCTTATTTCTTGGGTAGCATTGAGGACTGGGTTGGGAAAATGTTTCGTTAGTGGGATGAATTGTAAAGGACCTGCCGAGCATGGGCCAACAGGCCTGCTGCAATGATCCTCCTTTCTTATGTTCATCAACCACTATCACAACTGCTTCCACTCTACCACCACCATCTTTGTATTTTTCTACAAACTTTTTCATAAATTATGTGTTTCTCACATTCTTTACCAAAGGGCTGGCACTAGAAGCTTTATTTGGAGCCACGGTAGCTTATTTAGCACTTGCAAGCACTAAAATCAATGGAATATTATGAAATATTTCGTAGGAGCATGTGAGGGGACCGTCACTCACTGGTAAACAATGGCACACTGGCTGGGAAGGAAAGGCTGAGGCGGCTCAGAGCGTGAGTACTCGTCCGGGATGAAGGACTATTAGCGAGTTACCGGACCATTTGCGAGCCAATATTTTGACGAAAAAACAGGACTATTTCCGAAACTGATGACTTTCAGGCCGGACGATTATTGAGGGACCACTGTACTATGCTCCTCAATTAGCAATGAATTCGTTTACCGACGTGGTCTTAGGAACGAAACTCCGTCGTTAAGTGATGAGAGGCTGTAGTCAGGGGAGGGAGATAAGAGCTTGGCATCACTTAATTCTTGAAAAGTGAGACCACCTCTGCCAGCCCTTCCATACCACACCAACACACAAATCCCTCATTCCCATGGACAAGCTACAAAAGTGAAAACACCTGTTTTGAGTGATGCTGCCTTTTGATGAGTTATGAGTGAAATATGTGTACAACAGTTAGGTATCTTTATAAAGATACCTAAGAATCTCTGACTTCAAGGTATCCATAATTTAGTGACTTCAATTTAGCTCCAGTAAGAAGAAATGTTGTGGATCTTGCAAGACCAACTGGAAGGGGGATGGGGGGCAGATGCAACAGTTAGGTACGTATCTTTATAAATATACCTAACTGATGCACATGTCTTACTTATCAACATGTCAGTACTGTATACCATTATCATATTCATTTTGTTGAGTTATAATTGGTTTAAGGTGAGTGGACAATGTGAATCACCATGAACAGATTCCATATCTTAGGTATGGACAAATGAGGGTTGTGGAACATAATACAAAAATTTGGAGAATACTCCTACCATCTTAGAGACTTGTGTTGGTGAGTTGGATAATGACTGAGAGAGAGTGGCACATCACCTTAAAGTGAAGGGTTCTGAGGATACAAGGGAGATAGAATTGAAGGATGTGAATGAATTATGTTGAACTGACAAACGAGGACATTGTGCCGAAGCTCAAGCCAGTGGAGCCTACCAGTGATAGAGTTAATCAAGTGATGGCCAAGCATAAGGCCATCACAACCTGTGCTAAAGTCACCATCACAATGTGTGTTGTAGTCGTAGTATTGTTGTAGTTGTAGTAGTTATTGTTGTAGTTATTGTAGTACTCTCATTAGAGCTGTAGTAGGTGTTCTGGGAGTAGTTATTTTTTGTATCTGTAGTATTTGTTTATTGTAGTAATGTTTTTGTTGTAGTTATAATAGTTGAGGCAGAGGTTGTCATAGTTGTAATTGTAGTAGTTGTTGTAGTTCTTGAAGTTGAAGTATTGTTATTGATTTAGTAGTCTGTAACAGTAATTAGCAGCTAATAGTTCTTTGTTGTTGTTGTTGTATTGTTGCAATTGTTTTTATAGCTGTTGTAGCACTGTGGCGGCAGTAGTAGTAGTAGTAGTAATAGTTGTAGTTGTAGTAGTAGTAGTAGTAGTAGTAGTAGTAGTAGTAGAATTTAGTAGTAGTTGTAGTTGTAGTTGTAGTAGTTGTAGTAGTTGTAGTAGTTGTATTTTGTAGTAGTCATAGTTGTAGTAGTAGTAGTAGTAGTAATAGTTGTAGTTGTAGTTGTAGTAGTAGTAGTAGTAGTAGTAGTAGAAGTAGTATATTTGTAGTTGTAGTAGTTTGTAGTAGTAATGTAGTTGTAGTTGTATTTAGTTGTAGTAGTAGTTGTAGTAGTAGTAGTTTAGTAGTTGTAGTAGTATTTGTAGTAGTAGTTGTAGAGTAGTTGTAGTAGTAGTTGTTAGTAGTAGTTGTAGTAGTAGTTGTAGTAGTGTTGTATAGTAGTTGTAGTAGTAGTTGTAGTAGTAGTTGTAGTAGAAGTTGTAGTAGTAGTTGTAGTAGTAGTTGTAGTAGTAGTTGTAGTAGTAGTTGTAGTAGTAGTTGTAGTAGTAGTTGTATTTAAGTAGTTTGTAGTAGTAGTTTAGTAGTAGTTGTAGTAGTAGTTGTAGTAGTTGTTGTAGTAGTAGTAGTAGTAGTAGTAGTTGCAGTTGTTGGTGTTGGTGCCTTGTACATGTGTATACTCATTATCAGGCAGCAGCAGCAAGCACAAAAGGTGAAGAATTATGATCAATGGTCACATATTGTGATAATTAAATAACTTTCAAGCAAGAATGCCACATAAATCGAAGTGCCCCATGTTACTGTCACATGAACCTGTAACTTTAAAAAAATCAATTACAGTGGCACCTCGAGTTACGAACTTAATTCATTCCAAAAGGCTGTTCAATTGTCAATACTGAACGAATTTGTTCCCATAAGGAATAATGTAAATTAGATTAGTCCATTTCAGACCCCCAAAAAAACACTTACAAAAGCGCTAACAAAAATACACTGACATAACTGTTCAAGTTGGGAGGTGTTCGAAACTCGAGGTGCCACTGTTGTTTACTTTTACCCTGACTTTTCTGTTAAACTTAACACGAGCATGTGTGCCCAATTACCTGAACCCCAACATAAATAGTTTAAGGAAAATCCTGCAGGAATATTTATTATTTGATACTAAAGTACAGTAGTACTCATCTTCAAAATATACAACAATACAGACTGTCTATTATTTAATCACTTGAAGGAAAATAATATTCAAATATTTTAAAGGCTGCACTAGTAAATAATATGTGAACATTTTACATTAAAACACTGTCAATTTATGACTCCTGAACTATTAAAAGCACCATTTAATAAGAGACAAAAATTGTAAAAAGATGTATAGAGTTAAGGTTTATAAAGTGAAGTGCAGCAAGTCTTACCCTCCACCTTTCCAAGAGTTATACTGGACCACAGCTGCTGGCACTCCCTTCATGTGTGGGTTGTCACGCTCTTCTACCTGCACATAAAAACAATCCATGTCCAGCAACACTACCACTCTCTCCATCATACTGATGCTTCACACATACACTCACACAGCTGAAAAATCTATGCCTGAAAATCATGCAAAAAACATACATTACTGTGAATCATAATTCTAAGAATTTGTTTTTTTCTCACTTTGACTTCAAATTCAAATTTATATTTCTTTGCAAAGCTTACAATGTGTGATTAACATATTACAAAATATTGTGAAGTCTAATTATAATTATAATCATGGGGGAGCGCTAAACCTGTAGGATTATACAGCATATGTGAGGGGGGGAAATGGAAGGTATCCAGGTTCAATTCAGGGAACCAGAGCACAGATCCAATTCCCAAGATCAAGAGCCCCTCACCAGCATCAAGGAACCTCCCTTGAGGGAGGTGAAGTATAAAGAAAGCCACTATCATGCCTGAGCACTTCAGGCAGACTAATACTTACACACTACTTAAAACTAGACAAAGGTTATAGTGGTAAATTTTAATTATTCATTATTTTATATTACAAAAGTGAGGTAAAAAAAATTGTAATTAATAAGATTTACAGTAGTGAGGTAGCAAAACACAATAACAGTATTTCAATTAGGACAATTTACAATGTTACAATTTTAGATATGTATTACTATTTTAGATTGACCAAGTACTCCTAAGTTTTTTGGGACTTCTCAAGTCATTTTGAAGTGGTTGAATGATTTAGTAGAATAGTGGTATGACTAAGTTTGGGAGATGAGATGATTTTTAACCCTTTGACTGTTTCAGTCGTATATATACGTCTTACGAGCCAATGTGTTTGACGTACAGTGGACCCCGGCTTACGATATTATTTCATTCCAGAAGTATGTTCAGGTGCCATTACTGAACGAATTTGTTCCCATAAGGAATATTGTGAATTAGATTAGTCCATTTCAGACCCCCAAACATACACATACAAACGCACTTACATAAATACACTTACATAATTGGTCGCATTGGGAGCTGATCGTAAAGCGGGGGTCCACTGTATATAGTATACTCAAAAATTCTAGCGGCTTCAAATCAAGAGGGAGAAAGCTGGTAGGCCCACATGTGAGAGAATGGGTTTGTGTGGTCAGTGTGTGCAGTATAAAAAAAAAAAATCCTGCAGCATGCAGTGCATGAGAAAAAAAAAACTGACCTCTTTTTTAATTAAAATGCCAACTTTGAAGTGTATTTTTGTATAGTTTTTATGTCTATATTCTCATTTTTGTAGTCACATTTGATAGAATGGGAAACATATTATAGAAATAGAGGTGATTTTGATTGGTTTTACTGTGAAAAGAACTTCGAAATGGAGCTCTAAGTAGGGGAAATGTTTGGTTTTTGCTGATGTTCAAAAGTAAACAAATGTCATTGTCCAATAAATGTCCAACTAGCCATTCTAATATGCAGTCATGAATGGGTTGACATTTTTTATACAATTATTACACTATTTAAGAAGTCTGCATAACAGTAAATCTTCTATTTTTTGTTTGAATAAAAATTCAAAATAGAAAGCAAGAGTAATATCAGAGGGGCCTGGAGACGTGACTGATGAACAAAGAAAATGTTATTTTAGAGCAAGAAATGTCTGCATTGTTTATTCTGGACCCTATTTTGAAATTGGGATATTTTTTAACTTGCATGAAATTGGCCAAATTGCAAATTTCTGACCACTTTAGTGGATAGTTGAAATCGGTAAATGGGCAGTTTTTTGTACTCAGTCGATAGAACAAATGGAGTTCTAAAGAAATAGCTATGAGTCTGGTCGACTGGAACAATGGAATTAGCCGAAAATAGGGCTCAAAGTGGGCGAAATCGCCGATTCGTAAATATCGCTGAGGTCGCTAACTTTGCGAGAGCATAATTCCATAAGTTTTCCATCAAATTTCGTACTTTTGGTGTCATTACCATCGGGAAAAGATTCTCTATCATTCCATAAGAATTTTTTTTTTCTTTTCAAATATTTTGTGACACCAGGAGACACCTCAGGATTTGGGGTTGTAACAGTCAAGGGGTTAACAACGGTGCATCCAGCCAAGCTAGATGTTGTACCCACCATCAAAGGACATACGGTGGTGTGGACGCCTCTGAGCTAATTTCATTCTACTCCCTGTTTGTGTACTAGCTCAACAAACAGTATATTATATTATTGTACCCACAGAACAAGTGGAATTGATCAATAACAACACTGCACTAGCCAAGGGGTTGAACCCAAGCTGTTTTGGCCCGCCTCATGGTGAGAGAAAACGTATGACGCTTTAGACCACTAGACCACATAATCCTTAACAATGGTGCATTCAGCCTAGCTAGATGTTAGTACACAAACAGGGAGTAGAATGAAATTAGCTCAGAGGCATCCACACCACCGTATGTCCTTCGATGGTGGGTACAACATCTAGCTTGGCTGGATACACCATTGTTAAGGACTGTGTGGTCTAGTGGTCTTAAGCATCGTGCGTTTTCTCTCACGAGGCGGGTTAAAACAGCATGGGTTCGACTCCTTGGCTAGTGCAGTGTTGTTATATGATAAATAAGTAAATAAGTAACTACTGTTGCTGAATAAGTAAATAAACAAATAATTACTGTAGCTAACTAAATAATGTACTAGTACTGAAAAGTAAATAAATGAGTACAAGTTTATCAAGCCCCATGCCCTGACCTACACCATTTTCCCCATGACCTTATGCCCACACCTTACTTGACTTTTCACCCTAACCCTACCTAATCATTTATTCACCCACCACCCTCATTACCATCTACACTACCAACTATACACTCACCCACCTAGTCACAAGTCATCCACATCACCACACATGCTGGGCCACATACAACCACATCTTTCACTCACACTACTTCTTCCTCACAGCTTTAACCATACAACTCCAGTCCTACAGTCCCACACCTTGCCCATGTTTTCATGACCCACACATCCTAACATACCATGAACACACCTAGTCATATAGCCACCCACCACTCTCATTACCGTGCACACCAACAACTGCACACTCACTCAACCAATCACTCGTTATCCACACCTCCACCCATACAGGGCCACCCACATGATCACCATCACACTACCTTGATGCTTTCAGCCTTCACCCCCACACTCCTCCACCACCCTGCATCTACAACTACACCCCTCCACCACCCAACATCCTCTGCCCCCACACCCCTCCACCCCCACACCCCTCCACCACCCTGCATCCTCCACTTCTCAACATCAGCCTCCAGCTCCTGCCTCCACCTATCCACTGTTGTCCCCCACCCTAACCACTCTAACCCCCATACAATAGCAACGAGTCGGACAACTGAACAATAAGGCACCTCCATCTGCTAGCAGAGATGTGGAAGCGGGATCTTCAACTAACGCACTTCACCACACTGACCTAAAATTACATTATCATTGTTTTTTTACAATTTCGAAGCCTGTACAAAAACGTTTTGGCTATTTTTTCCCACATTCTTCAGTTCAGTTTACACACATTTATGATTGAATGCCATTTTCAGGAAGGCAGCTACCATGTTAATTCAACAGCCAACCGTATGTTATCAAAATATCAGCAACACACAGATTATATAGTACCCAATATAGAGTTGAATGATTCACAGAATTATATGCCTTCTTGACATTTAATGACAATGTTGACATTTAATTTAATGATCTTTTAATACACAGCAATGTCATACAGTCAACAGCCTTCAAGTTTACCACTTGATTTCTCGATAATTCTATTAAAAATTCACATTTTTCGGTAATTTTATTAAACAAATTTTCATTGTTTTAATACCATGACAATGCTGAGCTCATATTTTTGGGTTGAAATTTTTTCTTTTTTGAAAAATCATGAGAAGGGGCTTTAAATTTTTGGGTGGGGCAACAGCAAAAAGGTTAAAATAGTTAATTTGGGCCATTTTCTAGGGTGTTTTTTATGGTTTTTATCAACTGCTTCTGGTATCAATAGATTAAGAGTGGAAATGGCCTGAAATAGGCATCAAACTGGCAAAAAACAGTGGTTCTTAGGGCAATTTTCCTGGGAAAGGGTATTGCCCTCTATCCCTCTGACCTGTTTAATGAGTTTTATTAGATCTGCTTCAATTATTGGAATACCTAAACTATGACCAAGCATTTTTGTACATGGTTTACTTAGAAAATTATAATAAAAAATTTATTTCAGCATGATACAATGTTTGTACAAAGGTGAATGACATTTGGGTGTACATGCCAAAAGACCCTTTATATGCATAGCATTTTGGGCAAACTTAAGACTAGTAAGGTAATAACAATATGAGTAATTTTTGTACATATAGTCACTTAGGTGAGTGTCACTGTAAATTTAAGAGTTTACAATGAATACAAGAAAACTGAATATTCTATTATTCATGCTATATAATTTTAATAAGTTTGATAGAAAGGAATTACAGGCTTGATTATTAACCCCTTGACTGTCGCAACCCCAAATCCTGAGGTGTCTCCTGGCATTGAAAAATTTAAAAAAAAAAAAAAATTATTTTTTCTTATGAAATGACAGAGAATCTTTTCCTGGTGGTAATGACGCCAAAAGAACTAAATTTGATAGAAAACTTACAGAATTACACTCTTGCGAAGTTAGCGACCTCGGCGATATTTACAAATCGGCAATTTCACCCACTTTGAGGTCCTATTTTCGGCTAATTCCTTTGTTCCAATCGACCAAACTCATAGCTATTTCTTTAGAACTTCATTTGTTCTATTGATTGAGTACAAGAAACTGCCCATTTACCGATTTCAACTACCCAATAAAGTGGTCAGAAATTTGCAATTTGGCCAATTTCACGCAAATTAAAAAATATGCCAATTTCAAAATAGGGTCCAGAATGAACAATGCAGACATTCCTGGCTCTAAAATAGCATTTTCTTTATTCATCAGTCACGTCTCCAGGCCCCTCTGATATTACTCTTGCTTTCTATTTTGAATTTTTATTCAAACAAAAAATAGAAGACTTACTGTTATGCAGACTACTGCAATATTGTAATAATTGTATAAATAATGTCAACCCATTCATGAATGCATATTAGAATGGCTAGTTGGACATTTATTGGACAATGACATTTGTTTACTTTTGAACATCGGCAAAAATCAAACATTTCCCCTACTTTGAGCTCTATTTGAAGGTTCTTTTCATAGTAAAACCAATCAAAATCACCTCTATTTCTATAATATGTTTCCCATTCTATCAAATGAGACCAAGAAATTGAGAATACAACCATAAATACTATACGAAAATACACCACAAAGTCGGCGTTTTAACCCCTTCAGGGTCCAAGGCCCAAATCTGAAGTGGTGCCCCAGTGTCCAAGAATTTTCAAAAAAAAAATATTTGTTATTTTTTCTTATGAAATGGTAGAGAATCTTTTTGTGAAGGTAATAAAACAAAAAGTACGAAATTTGATGGAAAATTTACGAAATTATGCTCGCGAATTTTTATGTGTCAGCGATATTTACGAATTGGCGATTTTGCCGACTTTGACTCTCATTTTAGGCCAATTATATTATTCCAGTCAACCAAATTCTTAGCTATTTCACTAGTATTACTTCTATTCTATCGATTGAGCACAAGAAATGGCCAAGTCAACTGTTTCAACTGCAAATTAAAGTGATTCGGAAATTGTTAATTTAGCCAATTTAACACAAAGTTCAAAATATTCCAATTTCAAAATAGGGTCCAGAATAAACAATGTAGGTATTCCTGGAACTAAACTAACATTTCCTCTGTTCATTAGTTACGTTTTGAGGCTTTACATATAAATTCCATTTTGATTTTTTATTCACATAATGAATTTTTATTCACACCAAAAAATAGAAGATTTACTGTTATGCAATACTGTAATAATTGTATAAATATCCTCACCATATTTGTGAATGCATATTAGACCCACCAGCTGGCGTGTATTAGACGTGTGAGGTCGTTTGTTTACTCTTGAATATCGGCAAAAATTTAACATTTCTGCTACTTTGAGCTCAGTTTCAAGCCATTTCCAGTGCTAAAACCAATCAAAATCATCTCTATTTCTGTAATATGTCTTCCATTCTATCAAATGAGACCAATAAATCGCAAATAGAACTATAAAAAACATACGAAAAAACACTGCAAATTTGCTGTTTTAATCGAAAAATCATGATTTCAGTTTTTTTCTCTCATTATACACAGCGTGCTGCAGGATCTGTTTTATGTGGTGCACACATACCACATAGATGTATTCTCTCATATCTAGGCCCAAATGTACCACTCACAGTTTATCAGAGTGAGCTGAGCTCATGACGTAGATCTACGGTTTGGACCCTGAACGTAAAGCCGTAGATCTACGGGACGGATCCTCAAAGGGTAATCCAAAAAACAGTCAGTCAGAGTTTTTTCTTTTCTCACTGTGCACTGCGTGCTGCAGGATTTTTTTTATATGGTGCACACTGACCACACAGACCCATTCTCTCACATGTGGGCCTACCAGCTTTCTCCCGCTTGATTTGAAGCCGCTAGAATTTTTGAGTATATATACGTCAAACAGTGGCTCATGAGACATACATGTATATATACAGTGGTCCCTCGCTTTTCGTAGTTCTCGGCAATCGTAAATTTCGCCAATCATAGGGGTATTTTCGTATAAACATGGACTCGCTTTTCATAGGTTGAACTTGCAAATAGTAGTTCGTCCGGGACACGTACGCACGGTGTGAGCCGGGGAGGCCTCCCTACCCAGCTAGTCTGGCATTGTTTACCAGTGAGTGAAGGTCCCCTCAAGTGCTCCTATGAAATATTTCATAATATTCCACTCATTTTAGTGCTTGCAAGTACTAAATAAGCTACCATGGCTCCAAAGAAAGCTCCTGGTGCCAAGCCTGTGGTAAAGAAGGTGAGAAATATGTACAGTGACAAAGTCTTGTACCATTTTAGGGAAGTGTTAAAGAGACGCCAGAAACAGAGCTCTCTCCACAGTTACTTTGCGAGACAGGACTAGAGTGACTCTCAAGGTGGTCCTAGTGGCATTAAGAAACAGAGAAGAGAAGCAACCCCAGAGAAGCAATTGGTACCTGAGGTGTTGCTGGAAGGGGATTCCCCTTCCAAACTGTAAACAATCCAATCTCTCTCCTCCTCCAGTCTCCCATACACTAAGAAGAATCTCCAATAAAGGTAAGTGTTATGCTGTTAATGTTTCATTCATCATTTCCCATTGTATTGTTTATGTACATGTATATTTCATGTAAAAATTTTTTTTGTTTTAATACTTCTGAGTGTCAGAAATGGATTAATTGTATTTACATTATTTCTTATGGGGAAAATTGATTCGCAAATCGTAAATTTCGTTTATAGTAGCTCCTCCAGGAACGGATTAATTACGAAAAACGAGGGACCACTGTACGACAGAAACAGTCAGAGGGTTAACCCAAAGCGGACACAATGGATTGATTAACGTTTGAGAGGATTACACTGATTTCTGCATGACTATGGATTCAAAGTGGAGGAAAGTGTTATAGGAGAGGTCTGAGGACATAATTACTGAACATACCAAAGTTTACTTCAGTGGTTTAAATGCCTACAGTACTTGTTTCGGACTGTCTTTAGACTGAAAATTGTTGAAAATTTTGAAAAATTGGCTAAATTACCAATTTTATGATACTTAATAGGGTACTTTAGTTTGTGTACTAGACTTAAGGTTAAAATTGGGTGAAATCACTATTGGATAAAGTGCTCCACAACTTCCAACTTCATGACTGCAGAATTCCACAAGTCTTACATCAAATTTAGCATTTTTGGTGGCATTAATTTTAGAAAAATATTTTCTTCCATTTAACAAAAAAAATATGACAAAAACATTTAATTTGAGGGCCTTTTAACAGTTTAGAGGTTAATACAAGACTAAGTTTGCCCAAAATACTGTACATCCTATGGGCATTCTAATTAGTGTGTATTTCAGAGAGGATGGAATCTGAAGGGTGTATATATCTGTAGTGGAAGGAAGACAGGGTAGGGTAGGGGTCACCCTAGGAAAGGATGGAGGGAGGGGGTAAAGGTTTTGTGTGCTAGGGGCTCAGACTTCCAGCAAGTGCATGAATGTGTCAGATAGAAGCAAGAGGGAGCAAATGGTTTTTATGACTTGATGAGCTGTTGGAGTGTGAACAAAGTAACATTTATGATGGGATTGAGGGAAACTGGTTAGCCAAACCCAAGTCCTGGAAGTGAGAAGTACAGTGCCTGCACTCTGAAGGAGGGGTGGTGATATGTTGCAGTTTTTTAATTGTAGTATCAGTGCACCTCTGGCAAGACAGTGATGGTGTGATGATGAAAGTGTTTTTTCTTTATCAGGTCACCCTGCCTTAGTGGGAAATAGCCGATGTGTTAATAACAAAAAAAGTAATTTACATAATAGCACAATTTTTACAATCAAACAAAGCAAACATAACAATCTTACCTCCCAGGTTACTTTGTCTGGCTGGCCTCATTACAAATTTCTTGCCATAATTCTTTTCTCCTTTCTAAAGTCACAAAGGCTTGGGAAAGTAAATCATGTTCGGTCATGTTAATTTCCTCTTGTGATAAGTCAAAATCACTCTGGCTTGTTTCTGAATATGAACAAAATGAGGAGAAAATTACAGTTTCTGTAGAAATATCAAGAGCACTGAACTCTGTGTCACTTGAAGAAGCTTCTGTTTTAACTGGATTTACTGTTTCATCCTCTCTGTTAACTATGGGTTCCATGGATTCCTTCTCCATTGCCGCTTGTGTCTACGTCCCAGTAAACGAAGTAATTCTTCTTCAACATGAAAATACAACTGGAGAAACTGCTGTTCTGCTGTTCACTATCAGACAACAATCCTGCACAATGAAGCACTTTCAGATTTATAACCACAAAAAAAATATTGCACAGTTAACCCTCAATATAATGGACTAAGTGGGGAGAGCAAGTGACCAGTGACAACCATGGTAGATAAAGAAAAAGATTGTTTTGCCATGATTGTAACAATAATAGACAATTCTGTAACCAATGGACTTTGTTTCCAAGCTGGCTGCCCCAGCCAGGGAATAAAAAAAAAATCTGAAGTCTATTACATAGAGGTCCATTATAACGGGAGTCTGCTGATATGATGTAATTTTTGTAACAATGAGCACATCCTATGAAACCTGTTTTACAAAGTGTTTTCTGACTTACATGAAATATATCATATCTTTGTCCAAAAAGATAATTACATCACTTAAATAACAAACAATTTAACCATTAAACACTAAATATTTGTATCAAAATTGCATAGTACACTTAATATTGAAAAATTTACATAAAAACTACATATGAGAGTAAAGCGCATATTGACTTTATTTTAATCCAGAGAAAGCACTAAAACCATAGGGGTTATGCAGTGTCTGAGAAATTAAAATCATTCAGGTTCAATCCAAGGAAGAGGAGGTTAGGTTAGGTAAGGTTCGTCAGGAAACACGACAAGTGTTTCCTGACGTGGGTCTTAGTCAGCTGATGACCCGCCATTGGAGCATTTGGGTCATCTGACCGAGGCCTTCCACTTTCTTACCAGTTCACCTCTTTAAAAATTATAGTCATAGTTATAACCATTTTTAGTAGTATAAGGAAGAGGAGGAATAAGCATTGAGGCACCTTGGAGTGTTATACCAGGTTAAGGCAAACAATGTGAGACTGTATCTTACCACAAGTATTCAACAAGCTCTGTAAACACTAATATATAACTGACACTATATTCCTACTACATATGCAACACTGATTTTCTGGCAGCCTTAGTTCCTGGGCTTTACCAGTATACTGAGTCTGGCAGAGCAACACACCTCATATAACAATACTTCAACAATACACCTCTGACCCACCATATTCTGCTGGAAACTTAAACACGAGCATTAATGAAACACCTTTATTTATTACTGTACAGTGGTCCCTCATTTTTCGTAATTAATCCGTTCCAGAGAGTGTGACTATTATCGAAATTGACGATTTGCGAAACCATTTTCCCCATAAGAAATAATGTAATACAATTAATCCGTTCCAGACACCCAGAAGTATTAAAACAAAATATTTTTTTACATGAAATATAGATGTACATACACAGAATACAATGAGACATGAAGAATGAAACATTAACAGCATAACACTTACCTTTATTGGCGATTCTTCTAGTGTATGGAAGACTGGAGGAGGGGAGAGGTTGGATTAATTACTGTTTGGAAGGAGAATCCCCTTCCATCAAGACTTCAGGTACCAAGCCCTTTTCTGGGGTTACTTCCCTTCTTTGTTTTTTAATGCCACTAGGACCAGCTTGAGAGTCACTGTACACTTGTGGCACTAAATACTTGTCCAGAGAGCTCTGTTTCTGGCGTCTCTTTAAAATTTCCCTAAAATGGGACAAGACTTTGTCATTGTACATGTTGCTGACACGGTTTGCAACAGCTTTGTCAGGGTGATGTTTCTCCACAAATCTTTCCATCATACTCCACACTGCACAAATCTCCTAATTTCTGAAGAAGGCACCTTTGTCCATCTCTCTAAATCCTCCGCTGAAGCAACATGCTGAGCTGCAGTCTGTTGCTGTTCCAGCTGAAGCTCTTGCAGCTCTTCAGTGGTTAGCTCTTCGTTGTGGTCCTCCACCAACTCTTCCACATCCTTGCCACTCACATCCAACTCCATGGAACTCCCCAGTGCCTCAATAAATTCCACAACTGGCAAAGGGTCCTTAGGGTCAGCTCCAAATCCTTCAAAATCCCTCTTCTGGACACAATCTGGTCACAAATTTCTCCAAGTAGAGTTTCAAAGTCCTGGAAGTCACTGCCTCCCAAGCCTTACCTATAAGGCTTATGCAATGGAGGATACCGAGGTGATCTTTCCAAAACTCTCTTAGGGTCAACTGAGTGTCTGAGGTCACATTAAAGCACCTTTGAGACATTGCTTTGGTGTAGAGTTTTTTAAAGTTTGAAATGATCTGCTGGTCCATGGGCTCAAGGAGAGGAGTGGCATCAGGGGGCAAGAACTTCACTGTGAAGAAACCAAACTCCTCCACAATTAGGTCATCCAAGTTTGGAGGATAAGCAGGTGCACTGTCCATTAGCAGGAGGCACTTGAGTTCCAATTAATTTTCCAGGAGGTATTTCTTCACACTGGGGCCAAACACTTCATTGAACCACTTGAGGAAAATGTCCCTTTGTGACCCATGCCTTATTATTAGCTTTCCAAAACACACACAATTTACTCTTCATGACATTGTTTTTCCTGAACACACTGGGATTTTCAGAGTGATACACTAGTAAAGGCTTCAATTTGAAATCCACACTAGCATTACTACAAAACATGAGAGTTAGCCTGTCTTTCATAGGCTTGTGACCTCGGAGTGCCTTTTCCTCCTGAGTAATGTAGGCCCTCTTTGGCATTTTCTTTCAAAGGAAGCCTGTTTCATCACAATTGAACACTTGTTGGGGGACAAATCCTTCAGCATCTACATAGTCCTTGAATTCACTTAAGAATTTTTTAACTGCATTTGTGTCAGAACTGGCAGCCTCACCATGCCTTATCACACTGTGTATGCCACTACATTTTTTAAATCTCTCAAACCAGCCTTTGCTGGCCTTAAAATCACAAATATCAGTACTCGTTGCAGGCAATTTCTTTACGAGATCGTCATGCAACTGCCTCGCCTTTTCACAAATAATCGGCTGCATGAGACTATCTCCTGCTAATTGTTCCACGGTGATCCACACCAACAATAACTTCTCAACATCTTCGAGTACTTGCAATCTTATTTATGAGAGCATATTTACCCCCTTTGCAATAGCAGCTTTCTTGATTTCCTTTTTCTTGCCCACGTTGGAAGTGATGGTTGTGTGGGGTTTCGTAAACATCCTGGCCAGCTCTGCCACACGTACGCCACTTTATATTGTTCAATGATGTTTTTCTTGAATTCAATCGCATTTCTCACCTTCTTTACCAAAGGCATGGCACTAGGAGCTTTCTTTGGAGCCATGGTGGCTTATTTAGCAGTTGCAAGCACTAAAATGAATGGAATATTATGAAACGTATCGTACGAACGTTTGAAGTGGTGACTCGCTGATAAACAAAGGCACACTGGCTGGAAATGGAGTGCAAGGCCCCTTGGGGCCGGGCCCGAGTGGCCCCACACTCCATTCACAGCCAGTGTGCCCTTGTTTATCAGCGAGTGAGGATGATCCACGCGTTCATACGATACATTTTGTAATATTCCATTCGTTTTAGTGCTTGCAAGTGCTAAATAAGCCACCATGGCCCCAAAGAAAGCTCCTAGTGCCAGGCCTTTGGTAAAGGTGAGAAAAACGATAGAATTCAAGAAAGAACTCTTAGCAAAGTACCAAACTGGAGGAGGAAGAGAGAGGGGAGAATGTACCTTCTTCAGTGATTCTATGATATGTACGGTACTAAAGCAGCACGAGTCAATAAAGGCTATAGTGCCAGCCAGTGATAAAGTGTAGCATTAACAGTGTAGCAAGTAAGTTAAGCGATTAATCGATAGAAAAGGGACAGCACGAACCTAACTCCTCCAGTGTTGTTGGAGCTATATAGGGCTACTGACAACACCACCGCCTCCACCACAACCACGTATGGCTTATGCTCTCAGTGGCCCTTATACACCCAACAACAAAACACAACACCACTCGTGACATATGTAATGACATTTTTATTCATTCTACAGTATATGTCATGTTTCTTTGTTATTAATATTGTTTAATATGCCTTATTAGATGAATTGTGATAAATAAATAAGCCGTAGAGTTGATATTAATGTCATACTGAAGGTCTATCCTTGTTCTGCCTCCAAACACACTCTCCTGCTGCCGCCACAATTCCTAACATACATAATGACATATTTTATTCATACACCAACAAGAGTCTTCAATAAAGGTAAGTGTGATTTTATTATTGTTTTATTCTTCATGCTTCATCGTTTTCTATGTATGTAAATCTACATTAATTGGATTTATACGTTATTTCTTATGGGGAAAATGGTTTTGCAAATTGTTAATTTCGTCATTAGTCACACTCCCTGGAATGGATTAATTACGAAAAACGAGGTTCCACTCTAGTGTGTGTGGTGTGTGCTCACCTATATTGTTTACACTGCAGTTGTTTCTGGTGATCCCTTGATTCTGTGTGATTCATACTGTATTTTGCTAACACTTAACTCTAGTTATGATGTGATTAGCTTTGCAGTTCTAGTAAAATTCTAAAATTTATGACTGAGAGTGGTAGAACTGCAGCATTCTTTGCAAGTACGTACAGTGGTTCCCCGTTTTTTGTAAGCATCGAAAGTTGTAATTTTCGAAAATTGTAATGTTTTTTCGTCAAAACATTCACTCATGAATCGTTGTTTGACTCTCAAATAGTCGTTCGACCCCCGGTTATCGGCCGTAATCCATTCCAGAAGGTCAGCCGATAACCGAAATGGCCGAAAACCGAATTAATATTTCCCATAAGAATTAATGGAAATACAATTAATCCATTCCAAACAAGAAATTCACAAAAACATAATTTTTTTTAACAATTATGTATTACATACCTTTATTGAAGGCTAATGCTGGCTTCTGGAAGATAGAGAAGAGGAAAGAGGGAGGAGTTGGTGTTTGAAAGGGAAATCCCCCTCCATTAAGACTTTAGGTAACAAAGCCTTCTCTGGGGTTACTTCCCTTCTTTGTCTTTTAATGCCACTAGGACCAGCTTGAGAGTCACTGGACCCCTGTCTCACAAAATAACTGTCCAGAGTGCTCTGTTTCTGGCATCTCTAAGATTTCCTTGAAGTGAGACACAGTTTTGTCACTAAACATGTTGCAGATATGGCTTGTTTCAGCTTTGTCAGAGTGGTGTTTCTCTACAAAAGCTTGCACCTTAGTCCACACTGCACACACCTCTTTAATCTCTGAAGAAGGCACCTCCTTCACTCCCTCTTCCTCCTCCTCTGAAACAAGTTCCTCAGCTGCAGTCTGTTGCTGTTCAAGTTGAAGGTCTTGCAGCTCTTCAGTGGTCAGCTCTTCCCTGTGGTCCTCCACCAACTCTTCCACATCCTCGCCACTCACCTTCAACCCCAGGGACTTCCCCAGAGTCCACAGGGTCGGCAGGGTCAGGGTCAGCCTCCAACCCTTCAAAATCCCTCTCTTGGACACAGTCTGGCCACAGTTTTCTCCAAGTAGAGTTGAAAGTCCTGGAAGTCACTCCCTCCCAAGCCTTACCTATAAGGCTTATGCAATGGAGGAGAGTGAAGCGATTCCTCCAGAACTCTCTTAGGGTCAACTGAGTGTCCGATGTCACTTCAAAGCACTTTTGAAACACTGCTTTTGTGTAGAGTTTTTTGAAGTTAGAAATGACCTGTTGGTCCATGGGCTGGAGGAGAGAAGTGGTGTTGTGTACCTGTGTACCTGTCTACCATCTTACTATCATATTATAACCATGACATTACCATTGTTATTTTTTACTATTATTCTTTTGGTACTTTAATTGTGAATTTTATTTTGTCAATTTAAATCTAGTTATACTCCTGATCTTGTCAACAACCTATACCAGACTCTAGTGCAATTGCAAGTACCATTTCAATTTGTATTTTTATATTATAAGTTTATATTATAATTCCTACTCTAAGATTGTTTTCATATCTTAGTGACTATATTGTGTGTGCAATTAGTGTATATTTCAATTATATTATTGTTCAAGGCCCTTAACTATCTTTTGCTAACTAGTACCAACTACCCCATATATTTTTTTTTTCTACTTTTTTTATTCTTTTGCTACCTTAACTTGTATATTTTATCTTGTCAATTTAAATCTAGTTATACACTCTAATTCTTGTAAACAACTTATATAACACCTTAGTGCAATTACAATTGAGAGTCTTGTGCCTTTTTATATTATTAGATTAAACTCAGTTGTACTATAGTCAATACCAAATTCATTATATTAGACCATATTGCAATTACTAGTGAGAGACTGGTGCTATTTTTAATTTGTATTTTTATATTATTAGATTAAATCTAGTTGTACTATAGCTCATTCTAGCTCAAAACATAGACTCCACAAAAGTCATTATATTAGACCTTAGTGCAATTACAAGTGAGAGTCTTGTTCCATTTTAAATTTGTATTTTTATATTACTAGTTTATACCTAGTTGTACTTTAGTTCATTCCAGCACAACACATAGACAACATCAACTTCATTATGTGTAGTAGTGACTATACTCTATATGACCAAAATACTCTAGCTATATACTTATCCAAGCTTCCCACCACTACAGATATCAGTACTAGAACTCAACACATAACTCAGGATATAAATAACCATAATTTAAACCTAGAAGATGATTGATCACGTTGACCCTGACCTAAACCTCCATAATCTGACACCCAATCAAAACCTATTGGAAAGTAACTGCCTTTATTACACAGCATCACAAGCCAGCACTATCCTAAACAATGCTAAAAGTCTATCAGTACTTAACTACAACATCAGGTCCTTAAGCAAACACTATGATGACCTCCTGCATTATTCTTACTGAGACTTGGCTTAAGCAGGACACAATAGATATCTACCCTCTACCAGGATACACAGCAATTCACAACTGCAGACCAAACCAAGTTGGGGGTGGTATTGCAATCTATTACTCTAACCAATTATCTTCTATTAGCACCACTTGCTTTAGTGATGAATATGGGGAATACATTTTTGCTAATTTTACTGTAAAAAACCTTAAGACACCTATAACAATCGGTGCCATTTACCGGATACCTCACACAAACATCCCAAATTTCAGTGAGAAATTAAAGTCACTAATAACAAACAGACAAATGAATAAGCACCACCTTCTCTTAGCTGGAGACTTCAACATCAACCTTGGCTTACTAGATGATCAGCCTGTAACTGATTTCATCAACAATATGAACAACACACTTCTCATACCAACAATAACTAAACCAACCAGGCTCACTGAGACAAGTGCAACCATAATAGACCACATATGGACCAATATACTAGCCCCCCTTAAATCAGGGATAATCACAGATAGCACTACAGACCACTACCCTACCTTCCTCCTGACAAACATTAATAAACCACCACTTGAATACAACAAAGTCTCATTTAGACTCCATGACGAGGCCTCAATAAGGAAGTTCACAGCTGACCTAGAGATTGTTGACTGGCCTACAGAATTCTCCAAGGCCAATGGTATTGATGACTGGACAGACATTTTTCGTAACAAATTACTTAGACTATACAACAAACATTGTCCTATAAAAACGAAACAGATCACAAACAAACGGCTTGGTTGCCCATGGCTAACCAGCACCATTCTGAAATCCATTGACAAGAAACACCAATATGAAAAGCAATACAGACAGGGCTTAATACACAAAGATATTCTTAAACACTATTCATCAGTTCTCACCAAAGTAATAAAGAAAGCCAAACAACTATACTACTCCAGTAGATTCACAGACAATAGAGGAGATATAAAAAAGACCTGGAAAACACTCTCTCAGATTCTAGGGACCCACAAACTGAAAAAAAAGCAAGAATATTGTCCTAACTAAACCTAATGAAACACCACTACATCCCACTGACACAGCTAACAAGATAAACGACTTCTTCTCAACCATAGGATCTAATCTCGCCAATAAAATCCCACATACTAATGCCCATGCCGGGGACTACCTAGATGGGAATTTCCCAAATTCCTTCTATCTTGCACCAACTGAGCCCTCGGAAGTCACCGAGATTATAAAGTCACTTAAAAATAACTCAGGGAATCTGTCTAATGTCCCACCATTACTGTACAAGCGAGCGGCCCATATCCTTTCGCATGTTATTTCATTACTTTTTAACAAGTCACTAGAAACTAGCACCTTCCCGAAACTACTCAAGATGGCAAGGGTTACACCAATACATAAAGGTGGTGACCCTACAGACTTGAACAACTATAGGCCAATATCAAACTTACCATTGCTATCCAAAATCTTTGAGAAACTCGTGCACAGGAGACTATATTCATTTATAACAGCACAAAACATACTAAACCCCTGCCAATTTGGATTTAGGAAAAATAAAAGCACTAATAATGCAATCATAAAAATGCTAGATCTGCTTTACACAGCATTGGAAAATAAGGAATATCCACTAGGAATTTTTATTGACCTAAGAAAAGCTTTTGAGACAGTAGACCACGACATCCTACTCCACAAACTTGACCATTACGGTATAAGAGGCCATGCGTTTGCTTATTTCAAATCTTACCTTACTAATAGGTATCAGTATGTTACCATTAAAGACACAGCATCAACAACACGGCCACTTGATACTGGAGTTCCGCAGGGAAGTGTCCTTGGTCCCTTGCTCTTCCTCATATACATCAATGATCTTCCAAACGTATCCCAACACCTGAAACCCATTCTCTTTGCTGACGACACGATTTATGTCATCTCTCACCCTAATCTTGCCACCCTCAACACCATTGTTAACGAGGAGCTGATCAAAATATCGACTTGGATGACAGCCAATAAACTTACGCTTAACACTGACAAAACCTACTATATTATGTTTGGGAGCAGAGCAGGAGATGCACAAATTAACATTAAGATCGACAACACTCTAATTACCAGACATACTGAGGGCAAATTCCTAGGCCTATACCTTGACAACAACCTGAATTTCAGCACCCATATCCAACACATAACCAAAAAAGTATCCAAAACAGTTGGGATCCTCTCCAAGATACGATACTACGTGCCGCAAAATGCCCTTCTCTCACTATACCACTCACTTATTTATCCATACCTCACCTATGCTATTTGTGCTTGGGGATCAACTGCAGCAACACACCTAAAGCCAATAATAACCCAACAAAAAGCTGCAGTAAGAATAATCACTAAATCCCATCCCTGGCAACACCCCCCCCCCCCCACTCTTCATAGATCTAAACTTACTCCCTGTTCAGTACATCCACACTTACTACTGTGCAATCTACATCTACAGGACCTTAAACTCCAATATCAACCTTGACCTAAAACGCTTTCTTGATAGTTGTGACAGAACCCACAGGCATAACACCAGACACAAACATCTCTACGACATTCCCCATGTCCGACTAAACCTTTACAAAAATTCAATGTATGTCAAAGGTCCTAAAATCTGGAACACCCTACCTGAGAACTCTAGAACTGCAGACACATTCATCACCTTCAAAACTACCATTAGAAAACATCTTATCTCCCTGATAAACCCCATCAACTAACTACACGAATACCACCTGGTGGTTCACACTTACACTCACTCACCCATTTGACCATAAACAGAAATATTAATCTCAATCTTAAAATAATGAATCCTATGATACTCCAATACTGAAACTATGTACTGTACCAAAACAAAAGCATTCACATTGCTAAACTCACAAACTAGTATTTAGTCACTTAGCCATAATACCAACTTACCTCATAATTTGTAATATTTTAAAATAAAGAATTAAACTAAGTCTTCCCGAAATGCCTAGCCATGCTAGGCGTTCTAGTGGTACACTCTGTAATCATTATTTAACTATATGTAAACCACACAACAACCAAATTCTGTAAATTCAACATTGTAATCTTTATAGAGAATAAACTTTGAATTTGAATTTGAAGAACTTCACTGTGATGAAACTGAAGTCCCTAAACACGGTCTTGCAAGTCTGGAGGATGTGCAGGAGCATTGTCCAGTAACAGGAGGCACTTGAGTGGCAATTTCTTTTCCAGGAGGTATTTTTTCACACTTGGCCAAACACATCATTAACTCACTCTTTGAAAATTTGCCTTGTGACCCATGCCTTATGATTAGCTTTCCACATTACACACAATCTATTCTTCATGACATTGTTTTTCTTAAACACTCCGGGATTCTCTGAGTGATACACGAGTAAAGACTTCACTTTGAAATCCCATTAGCATTACCACACGACAAAAGAGTAAGCCTGTCTTTCATAGGCTTGTGCCCTGGCAGTGCCTTTTCCTCCTGAGTAATGTAGGTCCTGTTTGGCATTTTCTTCCAAAACAGGCCTGTTTCGTCACAACTGAGCACTTGTTGGGGTTTGAATCCTTCAGCCTCTATGTACCCCTGGAATTCCTGCACGAATTTTTCAGCTGCACATTTGTCAGAACTTGCAGCCTCACCATGCCTTACAACACTGTGTATGCCACTACACTTCTTAAATCTATCAAACCATCCTTTGCTGGCCCTAAATTCACAAACTGCAGCACTTGTTCCAGGCATTTTCTTTGCAAGATCCTCATGCAACTGCCTTGCCTTCTCACAAACAATAGACTCCACAACACTGTTTCCCACTAATTCTTTTTCCTTAATCCAC